AGAAACTAGTGATGTTCCCTCTTCTTGATATGAATGAAGTACCATAATATGAAATACCATAAAAGGGTAGGTTCCACCTTACATTTCAGAGCAGTTGGTTCATCACCAATTATTGTTGTATGTCCCTCACTCTCTCTCTCTCTCTTGTATTGCATCCATTGTTGAGGTTGAAAAGTTGGTACTGTCACCTAGGCTGTTGAGAAATGACCATAAAAGAAAGCAACACTGTGGTTGGTCAGCTGACCACTTATGATGAGTCATACGAGACTTGGCCATGACCCGGGAGTATTACAAAGCCATCCAGGCCACCTTTGCAGTGATTAGAGCTAGCTGCTTATCTGCCACATTTCTGTTGGAAAGTAGATAATTAATTCCCAGCCTCCATGCAGGGACAAAAGGATCCCTGGTGGTGTAGTGGTTACGAGTTGGGCTGTAACCCACATGGTCAGAAGTTCAAAACCACCAGCAGCCCCATGGGAGAAAGACTGGGCTTTCTACTCCTGTCAACAGTTACAGGCTCAGAAGCCCCCAGGGGATCGGCATGGACTTGACGGCAGTGAGTTTGGCTGTATACAGGGACAAAGAGAAGTCCGGCCTTCATGGTGTTTTCCCCTATTAAGGTTTGCATGAAATGGGCCTGCCAGGTCCCATGGGAATGCCGGGACTGAAAGGAGAGACAGGGGACCCTGGGAGTCCTGGAATTTCTCCTCCAGGCCTTTTTGGAGAAAAAGGTCCTCCGGGCCCTCCAGGTAAGAGGCAGTATGCTTTGACCCTATCTCTGTAAGCTAATCAAAAGCTTCCAGTTGTCATGAGACTAACGTCTGAACACGTCCCTCCTCAGGGAGACCAGGACCCCGTGGTTCTGCGGGTCCCCCAGGAAGAGCTCCTAAGGGTGACATTCCTGACCCGGGTCCACCTGGAGAGCCCGGCCCGCCAGGTCCTGATGGTCCAAGAGGTAAGAGGAATCCTGGCAAGGGATGGCAGTGCTCCCGCTGTGAGTTCGATGCCGCCACCCCTGCCAGCCGCGGAGGGGCAGAGAGAGGCAGAGAAGAAGTGTTTCAGTAGCCCAATCAATTTGACAGAGGAAAAGGGATGCCCAGGGTGCGGTCGGGGTGTGGGCTGTGGTGGGCTCTCAGGACCACTTCCAGATGAGAACTCCACCCTCCTCCCTTTTGTATCTCAACTCTCTTCAACCCCTCTCTATGGATACTTGGCAAGAATTTCCTCTCAGCAGCTTGCTGCTGACCATAAGGACCCTGCAATGGCCAGCAGAAGGGAATCTCACTCTGGGGCTCCTCGCTAGCCGTTGCCACAAAAGCCACTGCAGGGCACCCCGAGCCAAGGACCAGGCCTACCCAAAGACAGGAGGGCGTGTCTCTCTTGGGTCACTAGCCAGCGAGGGGCACAGCGCACGCCTCTCATCACCTCACAGAGATGAACTCTGGCAGGCAAAGGTTTGGGAAGAAATCACCACATTAGTGAAGCGGGGCTGGGGGAGAGGAGGCCCCAGGGCAGTGCTTTGCGACAAGCAGACAGTCACAATCATGGGAGCTCATTGTTGCACTATTTCACAAGGACGCAGACCCGCTGTCTGAATCGTTGGCTTTTTCCTAAGGGTGGGATGACCTGTTACATAATCCTGTTGTAAACTGAGACAAAGAAGCACTCTGAAATGGGTTAGGATGGATAGACTCTAAATAGAAATCGAAATGTGCCCCAACTCATTCCTTCATGTAGATACTTGACTTCAAATTGGATTATCAGTTTAACAGGGTGCAAATTTCCCCCCAACATCCGTTTTTCCTCAAAAGCCTCTCACCTCCCCACTGTACTATTACGTCTCACCTCCTCCCCTTTCTCCCCCCCTCCCTCTTTTTTTGCTCTTTCTAAGATAATTTGCTCGACATATACAATTTAATTGTTAGATCATGTTAAAATATTTGTGCAGTTATTGCCACATTCAATTTCAGGACATTGTCTTCCCATACTCGTTGTTAGCCCTCCATTTCCCCCATACTCCCCTCCCTGGATCTAGCCTGTCACTACCTTTAGAGATCTACATATCCTGGGTTTCTGGTGTAGAAAATCAGTCAAAACCAAACAAAGCAAACAAAAATAACGCCTAGACGAAACATAGAAAAATCTCAATCAAAGAGAAAGTAGAAAATCTTAAAAATGGAAAACATTTAAAATTGGGTCCAAATGGAGATCAACTGATAGGGCGTTACATTTTAACCTGGCCACATCTGTCATAATCGATCTTACAATGATCTCTACCTGATGGTCAAGCTATTCCAGCCCTAGCCTATGATCAGAGGGAATCACCATGTGGGGACCCTGCACATGGATTTGGTCCTTCCACTGCCATCCAGAGCCTTCTGCAAACCTCCCTCTTTTTATTTTGCATTCTTCCGATCTACCTACCTATGTATCCACACATGTAACACACATGATTATATACACATACCTATGCACCTGGGGGTCCTCTAATTTTTCATGACCTTCTATACTCCCATTTTGTGCCCAAACTCTATGAAATCTCTTCATATACACATGTATCTATTTAGTATTAAAGGGTGAGAGTTGATGGAATGCAAATTAAAAGGCATGAGCTCACACAGATAGTCCCCCGCTTTTTGAGTTTGCTTTAAGTCTCTTCGCTGATACAAGAGACTGACCTAAGTTAGGGCTTGCTTTCCCGAACTGAGAGAAATCCGAAGAGGGTTTTTGCGTTTATGGGGAAGACGGGGGAAAGCAGTCCCCATGCTCGGTGTCTGTTCTGCAGCAGCGTGCCACTGAACAGAAGTGGCCCTGCCTCCCCACACACCCTCCAGTGGTGCGGGTGGCCTCACCAAGCTCCTTCCTCGGGAACCGCACTCCTGTTGTTACCACCCATCGGTGTGAAGCGTGCTAGTTTAGGCTCTCTGAGCTAGTTAGGGGGACTTGGTCGGGGTCTGGGAACGGTGTTATGTTTTTTTCCCATTTACATGAGCGGTAGCTGCTGCTTCGCTTGAGGTCATTTAGGTTTACAGAAGGTTTACACTCCGCTTTCAGACAGTGGCAGCAACCTCAAAAGGGGTGGCCACGAAGGGAAGCCAGCCTTGGCTTAGGCTCACTCTAACCGTTACTCTTGCCATCAACACCCTTTCTCAATGAGACCCATCCCCTCTTCGCTTCTGAGAGTGCTGACGTAGTCTTTTCCTTCTGGCTACCCCATGCTCGTTAACCACTAAGTTCCTTGTCTTAAGCTTACTGGCAACTGTGTCCAAACTCACTTTTGACTAAATTAAGAACTCTTTTGCCTCCTCCCTCTGTTCAGGTGCTCCGGGACCCCCCGGGACCCCTGGGAGTGTTGCTCTCCTGAGAGGAGAGCCTGGTGACTGTGGCCTGCCAGGACCACCAGGGTCCCCAGGCCCCCCAGGCCCTCGAGGATGCAATGGTTCCCCAGGATGCGATGGAAGTGCTGGCCAGAAAGGTATGAATAGGAGTCCCTCCTCGGGTGTGCCTGAGAACTTGCATGACTGTGCCCTCAATTGGCCTAATCCAATTGCAGTGCTTGTTTCCTATAGAGGCTGTCTTCACATTTCCGAATTGTCCTTCTGCTCCCAGAGTCCCACGTGTGGGTAAAAGTTGGACAAGTCACGAGAAGAGCCTGGTGTTCATTGTTAGACCCAAATAATGGTCCTAATAGTATTCGAGACCAGATTGCAACAACAGAAATTCAAGCATAACTCTGAAAGTATTGCTATTAGGGTTCCGGGTCGTCCATAGTTGAAATGCATTTAGACATGTCTTGATGATCAGTGGCTGGCTGCGGACAAGTTCTCTCAGTAAGACACTTGCCCTAGTCCCATTGGGACAAAGGTTTGATCCAAATAGCTTCAGACAAAAGGTTTGATCCAAACAGCTGCTTCCTAAGGGATCTGCTGGGCCGGTTGAATTCGAGGCTGAGAGGTCAGCTCAGAAGGTTATGGTGATAGTTTGGTGAGATCTTAACTAGGTAGCCTTGATAGAGTCTCTCCAAGGAGAAAGTCTGATCATGGGACCCTGAGGAACAAGTTTACAGAAAACTAAAAACGACCTTGGTGGTTGAGGACGGAACTCAGAAATCGAGGAAGAGACTGGTATAAACTCAAGACCGAGGAAAAGGAGGCCGTGTCTAAAAGGTCACAGCTTTGAAAAGTCTATGGAGCAGTTCCACTCTGCACACATGGGCTTGTGTGAACTGACCTTCATGTCAATGAACACTAACAACCACTCTCTCCCGGAGACACCCAATACATGCTTGTGAAATCATTCCTTATTTCCCCTTTAGTTTCCATTCCGGGGCTTTGAGTGTCTCCTGGCAAAGTTCAGGATTGCAAGGCTTTTCATTTGGATTTCAGTGTGTGATGACCAGGGATCCACCATCCTTAGTCCTTAAGTCTTGGTGTTTCCTCCTCACAGAGGCAGCTGTCCTGCTGCTATAAAATTCAAGCCAGAAACAACTCCTCTGGGGCTTACCAGCCTTTGAGAGGAAACGAAGGCAAATTTCCACCCTGAGTCTGACTTTGCCCTGTGGTTTTGTTGGGGCAAATCTCTCAACCCAGCCAACAGAACTGGGCATTGTCTCTCTATTGCTTCAGGCCAGTGCTCTCATTTGTGCCCACTCCTTTTAGGACCAATGGGCTTCCCGGGTCTGCAGGGGCCTCCTGGATTCCCTGGAATGCCTGGAGAAAAGGGTTTTCCTGGACCTCCAGGCCATCAAGGGCCCCTTGGCCCTCCAGGTAAGCTCCCCTAGATTCACTTCTCTCCTGTGAGCAACCTGCGTGTGGCATATGATTGAAACACTGTCTTTATTGGTCATCTTTTACTAAGCAGTTATGACCAGCCCATTCTGAATTCACCACAGATAGATAGCTCGCGTTGCACTACAAAATGCCATGCATGGCCAACGGATAGTTCTAATTAGCACCACAAGCAAATCTTGAAAATTAAGATCTGAGTTTGCATATGATATTTCTAACATCAATTAATAGGCGTTCTCTCAAGTGAGAAGCAAAGAATGATGTGGCTGTTGTCTGTGAGGGTTGGATGGCTGGTGCATGTCCATGTATTTCCATGGATCTTTTTTCTAGATGTTTTATTGAGCATTTTCAATAAAGGGCATTAGTTCCCCTGAAGGTCAATGGCTTTTCCATTTAAATCGTAGAGATAGCTGTGTTTTTTCCCACTGGAGGGTCAATAGAAGCCAAGACAGTTTGGGGAAAGGGAAAGGCCAACAGAACTGTACATCTGACACAGAAGTAATGTCTTCTAAGTGTCATCATGGTGATGGGGTACCAGCTAGGGTACCCTGCAGTCTCCGCAGGTAGCACTCCCAAGCAAAGAATGAATGGACTGTGCTGTTTTAAGATGGGCGATCATGCTACTGAACCACGGTATCAGGGACTTAGAGTATGATTCATTTTGTATTTCCTTTCTGTGCATAGCCTATAAAATTTACCAGATTAACATGAGGTTTTCAAAAACCTTCAAATGGACATAACTTTGATGTACATTAATTCGGGACATTTTTGCGGCAAGATATCAACCAAAATTTCATATGGTTCAAGAGAATTGAATCCTAAATCTTTCTAGCTCTGAAACCGCCATTACTAAGTTGTAGCTCTGGCTGTCAGTGGCATTGACGTGGACTTCCTGTGTAAAGAAGACCCTGTCTGCTGTCTTGTCCTTGGTGCTGTCCTAAATAGTCTGTTCTCCCACAATCCATTTCACTTCTGATCTAATTCACAAATGCAACATCTCTCTCCATCCCATGAAAATCATCGCGTGGCCTGTGATTGTGGCTTTGGATCCCGCCAGGTCCCAGAGGTAAGCAAAACAATACAATGGACCAATCCTCCTACATGTGGCTTCCAGTCCTTGTTGCCCCCCCTCCCCTCCGTATTGGTGAGTTAAACGTTTTTTACATTTTTAGACAGGGTTTCTCTCATCCTGTGTTAGGGTGCCATGGTTTGTTTCCTGGTTAAAGGCATAATCACCTCAAGTTAGAGCGTCCAGGTCTGAGCCTCACTGGAGCTCATGGGGAAGCTGTGGGGACTCTGTTCACAGAACTTCAGTACAGGCACTCACCAGGAGTGCTGCCTCAGCTGTGCTGTCGGGCCCACCCATGCGAGTTCCTTTGGTAAATTCTAGACACACAGAACACCCCTAAAACAAATAGTGTAGGCAAAGCTAAAAAACCCAGCCAGCCTCGAACCCCGAGGGATCGTGATGTCATCACCACACAATCTCTTTGCAAGGATGCCCCTTATCTCCGCAGACTCCAAAGAAAATGCCAGCGTCCTTTTCAACTGGCCTTTTCTTTTTCTAATTTTATTTTGTGGGGGGCTCTTACAGCTCTTATCACAATCCATACATAGATCCATTGTGTCAGACACATCTGTACATATGTTGCCATCATCTTTTTCAAAACATTTCCTTTCTACTTGAGCCCCGGGTATCAACTGGCCTTTTCTTAATCCTCTGCCAGACAACAACAGCAGCCTATTGATTTGCATCAGCATTTTCAACGTGGAAAGAGAGGAACCTTTCATAAGAAAGGAAAGTAAAACAAAAGTTGGGAATGCCTGAGTTGCTTCTTACCAAACTCACTGAGGCTGAGTTGATTTTGACTCGCAGTGATCCTCCCTATAGGACAGAGTAGAACCCCTCTGTGGCTTTCCCAGGCTGTTGATCTTCACCGGAACAGAGCCTCACCTTTGTCCCATGAAGCAGTTAGTGGGTTTGAACTGTGTACCGTGCGGTTAGCAGCCAACCTGTAGCCTACTGTGCCATCTCACCAGGCATGTGATTAAGCTTGAGGAAAATCCTCATGGATGCAGACCCTCCTGGATTCCTACGAGCCAAGCCTCCCCATTGTCTTTCAGCTTCTGGTTTAAGAAGAAAGAGAGAAAAGCCAAATCCAACTTTTTAAAATTGCTATGTTCACTGCTTGTGTTGAAAAATCAATATTGGCTATTCATTGAGTTCTATGTCAGTCCTGCTAGTATGTCTGTGACGATGTGCATTAAACTCTTTTGAAGATCACATCAAAAGCTGAAATATGAGTATGAAGCCCCAGACCACATGCCTTTCTCCCTTCCTCTTCCCCACATTCCCCTCCTCCACCACTCTGCCTTAAAAGGCCCAGATCATTTCAGGGAAAGCTGGAAATGTTCCCACACACAATTTGCTCAAATCAACCATAGGGGACAGCCAATTTTTACATGACAGGCGGCCCTGTGCTGCCTGTGGTTTCATACTTCATTTCACAAGAGGTTAAATTCCAAGGAGCTTACAGAATTCCAGGCCACTTTGCACTGCCACGGGAAGTAGTACAGGGTCAGACTCAAATTTGGTCACAATGGTCCCATTGTCCTAGCACTTTTCTTGCTGCTTGATCTTGAGATCATTTTGCACATTTGAATCTTAAGAAAACTGTAACCAATCAAACGGTGTTTAAAAAAATCCATTACGTTTCCTACACTCCATATCATAGACATGAATGAGGTTCGAGGCAATGTGGTGTGGTGGTTAGGGAAAATTGTTTGGACCCAGACCATCCTGAGTTTTAATCTGGATTCTGGCGTCTATGTGACCTTGGATAAATCCCTGACTTATCAGAGCCCCGATTTCCTCCTCTGTAACATTCTAGGAGCACTAGCACGTATGCAGGCATGTTGGATAGATTTTGCTGTAAAGGACACCACATGCATTTGTCTCACAAGTGAGGTCTGCCATGGAGCTGGGCCCCAGACTGGTGACTTAACCCAAGTGTGACAGAGTCGAAGTGCTCCACAGAGACTTCTTGGCTGTGTTATTTGTTTCTATTTTTCAGCTTTAACAGCTTATTCATACATCATTCACATATACAACTCAATGGTCCAATTATATTTAAAAGAGTTATACAATCATTGCCACAATCAATTTCAGAATATTTTCTTCTTTCTTTTCCTCATTAGCTCCCTATTTCCCCCCACCCATAACCCTATGTCATAACCCTAAGACACTACTGATTCAGGTACTGTCTCTATAGATTTACCTATCCTGGATTTCATATAAAGAAAAATGTGCAAAACAATAAAAACAACAATAATGAAAAAGACAGAAGAAAAACCCCTCAATCCAAAAGAAAACTGAAAACATTTAAAAGTAGAACATTTTTTTTTTCTCTTTACAGGCTTAGATAGCACTGTCTTTCACCCTCGGAACAGCTAGCTATTTGGAACTGTACACCTTGGAGAACACAGCCCAACTGTTAACCACTAGGCCACCAGGGCAACCGTTGGTCTTATGACATTGTAAATCATTCCAGGAGTAGATGGCCCCATATCTCATCGCTGGGTATTGGCTGGTAAATTCAAAGCACTGACCTTGTGATTAGCAGGCCAATATCCAATCAACTCTGCCTTGGCTGGGTATTAGCAGCCCAATACCTAATCAACAGAGCTCCATCTCTCTATAGTACAGTAACAGTTACTTCATCCAACCAGATGTGCTTAGAGTATTGATCTCTGGAGAAGATTCCAGCATATTTTCTTAGTTCTTAAGTGTGTTTATGAAGGAAGCATCATTAATTGGGGGTTTTCCATTCAAATTTTATTTTCTTATAGATTAGGTGGGTAGAATTGCTTGTCTCATGTTACCTATCCTATCAGCCATAGGATAAGGCTCTCTTATTCTGTTGGGTCTGGGCAAGGTCCTTGTCTGCTTACAACAGCTGTGGGTGTAACCTGCCCTAGACAGCACCGTGTATGTGTGCTTCTGCATTACCTTGGCTCTGGGAGGTTCACTGGGTAGGGACTGCTAGTCCACAGAAGAACTCCAGTCCAGGTCTCCTTCCTTGCAGTAGCCAGATCCTGCTTCTCTCTTCTCAAATCTCTATAATGTTTTCAGAGATGAAAGGTTGTGGAGCCACACCTCAGGAAAAGCCCCTTACACCTCACTAGAACAAATTTAAAATGAATCAAAAGGGAGAATAAATGATAGGGTGTTAAATCAGTCATTTACCGATTCAACACCTGCTTTCTGGAAACACAGTGTGTCACCTCCCGGGGAACAAAATGCAATCACAACCCTCCAGGAGCTTGCACTGGATTGCTGAGCCTGCACAGGCTGAGTCTGCATAGGTGCTGGTCTTGTCAGAATGCTACATATGAGAAAAATGAGGCTCAGGCAACTAAGGGTCCCGGGTCCCACAGGTCACTCATGTTACAATCGAGATTAAAGTCGAGGATGCTTTAGCTCCAAACATGTGCCCTTACATTGCCTCAAACCTTCGAACATTCCTAATGTCTTGGGACAGGGTCTAGAAAACAGAATGCCTTTGAAAGCACACCATTTAAATTGTTATGCATTTCAGCATAAGGTCAGAAGTTGGCCTTTAACTTGAGAATGTTGATGGTGCTTGTTAAAATAATTTGAACTGGTCACAGTGTGATTCTGATTTCAGGTGAACCTGGGCCACCTGCAGATGCAGATGCGTGCCCCCGAATCCCGGGGCTTCCTGGGGTGCCGGGCCACCGAGGACCAGAAGGAGCCATGGGGATCCCGGGAATAAGAGGCACACCTGGACTGGGTATGTGCCTCACTCTGAATGTTTGTTATTTAGATCGGAGATTGATGAAATAAAAATCTTTGGGTTTTGCTATGTTGTTTTCTTGTGTGTGTGCATGAATCTGAACAACGAGGGAGGGTAAAATGAAAAATTCCCTCCTTGGGTACACTTTTCTACATTGAGCCAAAGTCTTGATCATGTACTAAGTGGGTTGATCCCTCCCTTCTATTCTAGACTCCTACTTAAATCTTTTATGCTTGGCCAGCTTCTATAGCTTGGACTTTTCAACGGCTACTGAAAGGTTAATGGTTCAAATCCACCCAGAGACACCCGGCAAGCCAGTCCTGAAGATCTACTTCCAAAAGGGCATTGCCTTGGAAACACCGTAAATTGAAGCAGAGTTCTATTCTGCACACGTGGGGTTGCCACGACCTGGCATGGACTTGACCACACCACAGCGAGAACACAATGAGGAGATGGGCGTTCATTGTCACCGATGGCTGTTGGCTTGATTGTTTGAATGAAAACAACTATACCACAAACTATCGGAATGGATCTTGGAGTGGCCGAGAAGAAGAAGGAACGGGATATGCATCTATGAAGAGGAAGAGAATAAAGAGGAAGGGCCTCTACCTGTTGCCAAGGATGACCCCAAAATCAAACTCTGGGCCATCCAGTCCATTCTGCCGCATAAGACAGAGTAGAGCTGCCCCCATAGGCTTCAGAGACTGTAAATCTTTATGGCAATAGAAAAGCCTCCTCTTTTCTCCCAAGGAGCAGGTGGTGTTTTGAACTGCTAACATAGCCTGCTAGGCCACTAGGACTCACTGAAGCATCCCCTTAATTAGCCTGAGAATTGTCCCACAGTTGTCAAGTTATCAGAATCCCAAGCAAAGTATTTAAAGAAAACCATTCTTTTGAAAATATTTTCCAGGTGGTTCATTGCCTAGAAGTTTTACAAAACGATATTGGGGTCTAGGGCTGATTATCTTGAGGTTCCTGATCTCTTGAGACCAGTCATGAGTGATGCTAGATACTTTATAAAGAGTAGCCAGGCCATCCCTGTCCCTACTCCTCCCACGCCCGGCTCGGACGTTGCCTCTTTTGGGTTCAGGGCCGAGGAGGTTGGAAGTAGAATGGAATTTTGCATCTGTTTTCCTCATATGTCTCCAAGCCCAAACCGCTAACGACCCAAGAGATGGCCCCCCTCAGCTGAAGTCTGCATGGATTTTGGGGGGTGTCCAAAACAGTGTTGGAACCTTCCCCAGATGAATGGGGTTTTCTTGTTGTGGTTGTTTGTGTTTGCCACATGGCCTTTGTATTTGTGCACGACTAATTAGGTGTCCATTGTAGAGACGTCTTTGAAACTCCCAGGGAACTGGCAATTAAGTCTTCATAATTCAACGTCTCTTGGCTTTGATCCTCAATTGCATGGAAGAGAGTGCTCAGGATGCCAGTGTAAGTAGGATCTCCCAACTTCATTTAAGAACCAGGCGGCTCTGTTGTGAGACATTTGATATATAAAAGACTATCTGCATCATCTTTTTTAAAACAACATCTAAAAAGATGTTCGAGTCTATAATTCAATATATACAACACATCCCCACCATTAAAAAAAAAATATGGTAGTAGGGGCTGTGGACCAAAGATGAATGTGTCTCTCTTCTTCACAGTGTACAGGCAGAAACACTTGTAGAGACTAAGAAACTAATAAATAGATTATCACTGGCATTTTAAAGAGTTTCAAGCAGCGGGCATTAGGAGAATAGGACAAGATGAAGGCCATTCCATCATGGGGAACTGCAGGGCTGCTAAGACCCTCGCAAGAGGTGGCTTTGAAATGGAGCCTTTAAGGAACGGTTGGGCTCTGGGGAACCAGAACGGTCCTCTGGGAAGAAGGCAGGGGCATAGACTCAGCCAGGTAAGCCAAACAGCCTGGGAACCATGCGGCAGCTCCATCTTTGCTACTTGTTGTGGGCTGACAAGAAGTTCTGAGGGCCCAGCGATGAAACGCTCCATTGCTAATGGAAAGGTCAGTGCTTTACCCCACCCACCCCTCCATGGGAGAAAGATGTGGCAGTCGGCGTCTATAAAGATCTACAGTCTTGGAAACTCTATGGGGCATTTCTGCTCTGCCCTACCAGGTCCCTGTGAGTCAGAATTGATTCAACGGCAATGAGTCAATGGTTGAAATAGTTCACAAAGTTACGTTGAACCCCTAGGGGCGCCTGCTCTGAAAGACCCCTTTTGCCTACAAAGGAGCCTTGGTGGCATAGTGGTTACAACATTGAGCTGCGATCCCAGAGGTCAGCAGTTTGAAACCACCAGCTGCTCCTTGGGAGAAAGATGGAGCTTTCTACTCCCATAAACAATTACAGCCTCAGAAACTCACAGGGGCAGTTCTACCCTGTCCTGCAGGGTCTCTGTGGGTCCACATCAGCTCAATGGCAGTGAGTTGTTTTGGTTTTGCCTACAAGGTGTTCCTTGCTCCCGCGTCCACTGATTTCCTGGTGGTTTGGGCCATCCCATCTAGCTATTGAAGAGGGACAAGTGTGTAGCCTGAATTCTGAGTGGTTTGGGTCATCTGTGTTGTGTTGTATGTTGCTCATTATGTGGCTTTTTCTGGTGGAGAAAAAGCTTTGTTATCCAAGGACAAGTGCATCACTGGCGTCTTCCTGCTTCCCCTTCAGGCTGCTGCCCCTCTCTCATTGCTAAGCTGACTTTGCCACCAGAAGACAGGCAAGCAAGCACACATTGTCCCTTTCAACCCAAAGTGAGTGGGCAACAGACACGAAGCATAACTCACGTCTGTCGTGAGTCTTCCCCGGAAGAAGGACCAAGGCTTTTCTCTTCACAGAGCTCTTTGACCTCCAGCGTTTTGCAGACTGACTTCCACGCGCACTGCTTTGTGGGTGGATCTGCATTCAATAGCCTTGCATCCCTCTTTGTGTCCATTCCTGACCTTCTCCATGGAGGTCATCCACCAACCTGAGGGGGCTTTCAAGATGAAGCTTGATTTCTGAAGACAGGTTCCAAAGAATCAGTCCCATAGTGGAAGGCACTGTATGCACATACTCCTGTGGTTAACCAGCGTCCTCCTCCTCGACTCTCAGGAAACATCCTCAACTTGACAATTTCCCTGCGCCACTCCCTAAAGGGAACAAGCTCTGTACCACATCTGATGTGGGAAGGCTTGTCTCCGATTGGCCATGATCTCGCCACATGCCTCTTCAATAGAAGGAATGCCTGCTGCCTTTTTAATCAAAAGAGGAAATTCCTACAAACCCATAAGGCCCCTTGGGTTGTCAGCACTTGAGCACAGGCACCGCATATTGGTGTCATCTGGTTGGCTTTCAGCTCAGTGAAGGCCGTATGTCCTTCCCCCCAAAACCCGATATGCTCTGCGAAGCTGACGACAAGCGACACCAACATGCACACAGCAGCGTCTCTTGCAGGAGGTGTTCGCCTGGTTCCCAGAAAGGGGAGGAGCTCCTCTCCCCCTCCCCCATGGAGACCAGGAGACGGTTCTCCTCCTGTGTTTGCGTTTGGGTGCTGGTGAGTGGATTCCAGCTCATGTTGTTGTTGGGTGCCGTCCAGTCGGTTCAGATCCGAGCAACCTGATATACAACAGAACGAAACAGCACCTGGTCCCGGCGAGCCTCACAATTGCTGTTGTCTTGGAGCCCAGTCACAGCTACTGTGCCGATTCATCTCCAGGCTCTCCTCTTTCTCACTGCCCGGCCACTTGACCAAGCCGGATGTCCTTTTCCAGGGACTGGTCTTTCCTGATGCAGCAGACCTGGTGGCCTCATGGTGGACGCGTTGGGCTGCTGACCACAACATCAGCCGTGTGAGACCACCCAGGCTTTCGGGAGTCTTGGAAACTCAAAGGGACAGTTGCACCCTGCCCTATAGGGCTGCCATGATCTGGAATCCACTCGATGGCAGTGAGTCTATTAAGACTGCGGCGAAGGCTGCATCGGGAAAGCAATGGAAAGGCATCATTAGCCTAGCGCTTAGCACATTGCAAACACCAAGCCATGAGTCGGAATCAACTCAAAGGCAACCACCAACAAGAAATATTCAGACCGTGTCCAAAGCCTTTTAACTTTCTTCTGAAGCTGCCCTTATCTTGCTGCCAAATTTACTGCTGCCATCTGATTGCTATTACATTTAATTCATCCCTCCACCAAAGCTTATTAAGAAAAATCATTCCAGTTGGTTACCGCAGGGCCTCTCTGGGGTCAGCAGCAGAAAGGACCAGACACGGGGGTCATCTGCCCAGCCCAGCAGGAGATGGATTGGTCTGGCTGACCAAGCTTAGCCTGAGTCCCACCCTATCCCTCATCTGGCTGGTCCAAGCATGGGTTCCAGGCACTATTTCTACAGCGACTGTGCTGATATGCTGCCAGGGCCACAGCCCACACCCTCCACCCCCAGCACCACAATGCTCTCGCTGTCCTCCTGACGTGGCCAGGAGGTGCAGGGCTTTGGATCAACTCGGAACACCTGGGTGCCTCCACCGCTAACTTTCCCAAAGAAGTCGTAGATAGTCTTCCAGCTGATGAATCCACTCATGCATTTATTATGGTTGGGCCAGTGTTGGAAGTGGCATTGGAAGATGGCGGTGAGCATAGGATAGAATCCACACTACAAAAATATGAAACGTCATAGCAGGCCTACCTTCAGAGAAGACTCCCCTGGGGAAATCCTCAGCGTGGATTTCCTGGGACCAGAAAAGAACTTTGACTCGTTAGCGTCACTTGCATCAGCCACTCCAGGTGGTACTGAGGAAGCTAAGCAAACACTAGATTTGCCAGAATATTTAAAACCCCAAGAAGACCATTCTTCCATCTTCCTGAAAGCAAAATACCAAGTGGGTGCAGCAGAAACATCATCTCATTAATCACCCGCAGTTTCCTGGTATTGGCCTGCTCAGAATGATGTGGTCACCTTTGGCTATATTTTCAAAACCAAACATTTTCTTATAGGTGGGAATTACTTTACACAATGCAGTGCAGTTACTGCAGTAAGCTTCGCCTGTTAAATCCATCATGCCACAATACTAAAGAGACTTGTGTAAAAGAAAAAAATCAAGAGTCCTTTTTTTTAAATGCATGATGCAGATAAAAGTCTTCCCGCTCTTTTCGAAATATATCATTAGAAAAGTCTCTCTTATGTCCTGAAGATGGAAATAAAATGTTAGTGAGTGTAGGTGCAAAAACACATGACTGATTGGGGATAAGAAGGATAATTCTTGGGGTAAAATACCAGCAGCTATGTAACTTGAATTCTGTATAGTCCATGCAACCGAACAGAGAAAGCTAATGAAGTACATGCATTAAAAATAGGTTTGGTAGATTATTACAAACCTAAGGGCAGGGAATCCATACATTGTATTGTTGATATATTGTGCATTTAGATATTCTGTCCTTCTTGAGCTCAAATCACTGCATTCTCCTTATAAACCTGCCTCCATTTAGAGGGGATCTTGACTCCTTCCCACCACCATGTTGGTTATTTTTTGAGACAAAGAAAAATGAATGTTTTTCAAATAGTTTTCAAAAGAATTTCAACCACTATGCTACAAGGGCTCGTTAAAAGAATAGAAAAATAGAATGTTTTCTGATAGTTCTCATTTTTGTGGTAGATAACACTTTTCCCTCCTTTTTTAAGAGTAGATGCTCCTCAACCTTTATTTTTCTTGATATGGGTTATTCTTTCCTTTAACTGAATGCTAGTATCAGTCGTGTTGATTTAGAATATCATACAAGTGTCCAAGAGATTGAGTGTGTCTGTAACCATGTCTCTATTGCACTTTTGGGGAAAGGGGAGTGGGGCTTCATCTTTACATTTCATTAATATTTAAATTAACACAAAGCAGTTCATTTATATACACACCAGTTTCTTAAACAAAATTGTATATTTTTCTCTCCTTCCATCTCCCGAGGGAAGCTACTTTTTTAGACTCAATTAAACTATTAAAAAATAAGTTATTTCATTTCGTTTTATCTAAATTCTGTGCATATACAAATGTAATTTAATGCCAGTCTAAAAAGTACTTGTAGCTTGGGGAGAAGGGTATAAATAATATTATTTGATTTAAATAATCTCCATCCTATAAATTTTTTCTTCTAAGTGGGATTTTCTTAGGGGAAGGAGGCCCACTTGGCAGAAATTTGAAATCTTTAAGTATTCAGGAAATGAAGATTATAAATTAGTTTAGGCTCTCGTATCATCATTCACATCATTACGTACCACATTTGGGGACAAGGATAGTAAATAAAAAGTAATTTAAAAGGTGATAAACTCACAAATTAGTTTTCCCAAATGTTTAGCATTAAGGAATTAGAACTGACCTTAATTAAAATAGTTATAAGGTACAGGAAAAAAAGTCTTAGTGTTAATGTTAGCCTAGGGGGAAATGTGGCTGAATTCAGATGGTGCTTGATAGTGTAGGGAGTTGTGGTAAACAAAGCAGTTCATGACTTTTCCACTTTTTTATGAATGTTTTTGTAAAATATACTTTAATGTTAAAAATTCAATACTTAGAAGAAAGATACTTTAAAGCTAAGATGGCGAGAATTGGTCTCACCTACTGTGGACATGTTATCAGGAGAGACCTGCCGCTGGCAAAGGACATCACACATAGTAAAGTGTAAGGGCAGTACAACAAGAAGACCTTCAGCGAGCTGGATGGACACTGTGGCTGCAGCAATGGGCTCCAACATAGCCATTGTGAGGACGGCCCAGGACTGAGCAGTGTTTCACTTCGTTGGACACAGGGTTCTGTTAACCCATTTGACAGCAGTGAACAACAACGTTGCCATCCAGTGGAATTCTGAGGGGGAGGGAACTTCTGGGATGGATAGAACTACCTTCTTGGGGTTGCTACGGCTGTTACATAAGCAAAAGAAGACGGCTACATCTCTGTCCCTGCGAGTGGCTGGTGGGTTTGAACCACTGACCTTTCTGTTGGCAGTTGAACATTTCAACAACTATGGTACAAGGGCTCCTTTAAAAAAAAAGTTCAAGTGTGCCAAGACGATGTAAGAACCTCTCTCTAATCACATCCCTGGTTTGCCTTCGGATACTGCTTCTGCCCTGTACTAGCTCTTGGATTAGAAGTAAGTTTCTTGACCTGTCTGAGCTCCGGGTATCTTGGTGGGGGAGAAGAGAACGCATAATTCCAACCCCATAAGTCTGGGAAGTCTGGCTAAACCTGGAGTATGACATAATTCCAGTGCACAGACCAGGGCTGGCCCAAGGTGCACTCGCAGAAATGCTAACAGGTGCCATCATTGGCTTCATCACCACCATCTTGAATTTTCTTGTAGGGTGCAAAGGGAAGCAGGGACTGGATGGCAGGAAGGGTGAGCCTGGCATTCCTGGGATGCCTGGGCCTTCAGGACACAAGGGTGACAAGGGAGACGCTGGCTACCCTGGGGTATCAGGTGAGTATACTCAGTCTTGCCCCAACCACCCCCCTCCCCCAATGCCCTTTCTTGGACTCTGTAGACCCAAGAACAAAATGCAAGCTCTTCAACCTCTCAAGTAGCTTTTCCTGCTAGATCTTGTAAAATCATTGGCCGTAGAGTCCAAGCCCCCTATTATTAGGAGGACAGGTGCATTAAAGATGCGATGCAAAGCATTCCTGTGTCCTAATGGATGCTAAACTATAGACTGCTGTGTACACTCTACATTCTAATGTAGACGGGGAGAACCTGCCCGTCCATCTTCCAGAAACAAGTTTACCAACACCCACTTGTCTCAAGTCACCTTTTGCTCTTGGCATTTAGAAATAGCCTCAGGCCCTCTTCAATAGATCTGCCTCTGAGAGGCGCCAAAGAGGAGAAGCCCTGCTTGCATTCCGTGGAACCATTCATTTCCTGTCTCCAAGTAGGATTCAGAAGCTGGACCTTCCTCCTACCTCCCTTTCCTTAAAAGAAGGAGAGGAGAACACACGTGATAGCCAAATCCAGAGATTATGGCTGATGGTCCCGCCCAGAACTGCCCCCACTCCCAGGGATCGCCTTTCTGAAAAGCACTAGACAGTTCTATACAGTGAGGAGCAACACCACAAGGAGCAGTCAGCCAGGAGAGACCAGCAGGGCAGCATTTCCCCCAACCAAAGCTCAGAAGGCCCTGCGGGGCGGGAAAGATAGACAAATGGAAACAGGAAGTCCAGCGGGGAAGTGGACAGAGTCCTGTTCCGCTGATGGAATGGAAGTCCATGTTCAGAAACAACATGTATGTATTGTTGAATGGAAAACGAACGAGCTCCGCAAACTTTCACCCAAGCCACAATGGGAAAACACACACGCACACCAAAGTGGTGCCCAAGCCATTGCCCTTGGAATGGAACCAGCCGTGTGCCCAACCGCCAGGGTCTGGCAGTGCCAGCAAGAATGCTTCTTACAAAGCGCCTTCTCAGATGGGCGGTTATCAAGTTCTTCTCAGCACTTAGCACTTTCCAACATGCTTCCTCCTTCACTTTCTTTAGAATTCCTCAAGTAGAATGCAAGTTCCAAGCAGGCAGGAAGGCCTCTGGTTTATTTTTATGCAAATAGTCTCACGCACCTAGAATTGCATCCCTCTGTGTTTGCAAGAGGTGGTTGGGCCACGGCATCCTCATCCTGGTTCACTGGGTGCTTAACCCATGCTCGGCCAGATGTTCATCGAGTTATTTGCTAAACTGAACCCCCTAAACTGCCTTCACTGTGTTCTTCATTCCGCCAGGCCCTCCTGGTGCCCCCGGGGATCCCGGGCCCAAAGGGTACAGACAGGGATACCTCAGCGGCTTCCTCCTGGTTCTCCACAGTCAGACAGACCAAGAACCTGCCTGCCCCGTGGGCATGCCCAAGCTTTGGACGGGGTATAGTTTGTTACACCTGGAAGGACAGGAGAAAGCTCACAGCCAAGACCTGGGTACGTGGACACCACGCAGTTGCTCTGTTGCTCCATCCACTGCTCGCAGGGTAAAACTCTCGGGTTCGCTTTGTGGACACACCAGTATCTTAAGTGAACAATCATCTTCTATAGGATTTCTTTTTTTAAGTACCATGCTGAAGGGAGCCCTGGTGGCATAGTGGGTTGGTGCTGGGCTGCTAAGGGAAAGGTCGGCAGTTTGAAACTCCTGGGGCTTTCCGTAAAGGGTCTTAGAAACTCCCCGGGGCAGTGCTACCCTGCCCTATCCACTCAATGGCAGTGAGTCAAGAGGGGTTTTTTGTTTGTTTGTTTACAATGCTAAAATGACAGGACAATTTTAATTCTCTTAAAGCTATGACCTGAGGGTTTTATGACCTAGTTTTGTTTCAATGGCACTTCCTCAAGAAGTTAAGCATGATTCTGATAGAAAATGGATTTTTTTTAACTTCCAAATGTAAATATAGATTATTTCACCAGGAAGAAGTCAGTGATTGGTAAATAGAAAGTACAGGTGCTAGAGTGTCAGTTCAGGCCAGACTGGGTTTATTCCAAACCCCCCCTGTTGAAGCTTGTCTCCATGGTCAGCAGATGGCTGCAGACACGTTTTCTCAGCCCAACGCTCATCTTAGTCTCCTTAGGGTGCCTTCAAAATAATAGGTCTGATAATAAAAAAATTTCAAATCCCTCCAGATTCCTTATCCCTCAGACCTAAATAATGGTTTGAGTGGCTTAAAGGGGGGGTGGGGGGAAAAAAGTAAAATCGAAATGCTCTCGGAGACCTCCGTGCCACACAGTTCACCAGAAACAGAGATAAATGAATACAAGTCCCATCAGGACAATGGCTTCGGATGGGCTCTGCAGGGCAGACAGGCCAGCTCAGACAGTGGTGGCAACGTCTGGTGGGGGGTTCCGAAGTGATCATATGGATAGCCTTTCTAGATCTAGAAGGACACAGGATGGGCAGGGGCCTTTATTAAGAAGAAGTTCTACGAGATCTGAAAACGGCGTTGAGAAGAAAACGGCCAGGGAAGGGTGTGAAGGAATCCTGTCCTCCCGTGACAGCGCACCTGCTCATTTTTCAAGGGCAGCAGAGGGCTGTCCGACGAGAATTTCATGGGGAAACTTGACCCCATCCACCCTGACCTTGCCCCCTTCAGATGTTCTGTTAGTCCTAAATCCCAGAGAACACTTAACAGGGGCACAAGACTGCCGTTCTCATCCAAGAGCGTAGAATTCTCGGGGTGGGGGGTGGGGGGTTGTTAGAGACAGAAACCCCCCCTTCAGAGGTGTGCTGACCGCCACGTCGGCTCTGCTTCTCTCCCAAGGCCAGGCCGGGTCTTGCCTCTCCATGTTCAGCACGCTGCCCTTTGCCTACTGCAACACCCAGCAAGTGTGCCACTATGCCCGGAGAAACGACAAGTCTTACTGGCTGGCCAGCGCCGCCCCGCTGCCCATGATGCCCCTCTCGGAAGAGGAGGTTCGCCCGTACATCAGCCGCTGCGCCGTGTGCGAGGCCCCGGCCCCGGCGGTAGCGGTCCACAGCCAGGACCAGACCATACCCCCGTGTCCGCGCTCCTGGAGGGGCCTCTGGATCGGGTACTCTTTCT